TGTAAACAAATATAAACGAACACAAACGAAAAAAACATAAACGAACCTACACAAACATAATAAATGAACATAATTGAACACAATAAATGAACGTAAACGAACCTAAACAACAACAACAATAACCACATAAAATTCATTATTCATTAATATAACTTACATCTTCATAGTTAAAATTATTTGAGTTTTAAATAGGTATGGTTTATAATCACATAAAATTCATTATTCATTAATGTAACCTACAACTTCATAGTTAAAATTATTTGGGTTTTAAATAGATATGGTTTATATTTTCTTTAATTGATTTAAGTTTAAAATTATTTGGGTTTTAAAATATTAATGATTGAGTCTTAATATTGTAAATGGGAATGGAGATTGTAACCCCCTCAGACCGATGCAGGTATCCCGATCTGATCTGGGTTATCATATTAGAGCCACCGGAGCAACCCACTGTAAAAATAGCGGAAAATTTAAAACTTTTATTAAAACATGTAACTTATAAAATGATTTATAAGTATGCAGAAATAAAACAGATTTTCAGACTCGTATATAAAAACAAAATACAATTGCATGCCCCCTAATCACATGTACCATACTCTGCAAACAACGCCGGAAGAACTCCCTTACTGAAGTTGATAGCTGCACTGGTACAATTCTTTTAACCTGCAATGGTGAGTAATAGAGTGAGCTTCGGAAAGCTCAGTAATACAGAACTACCAGATGATGCTGAAGAACGTGCAGATACAGATAAACATATATTTTCTTATTGGTTCCGAACATCCATAGATTTTATGCTGAGCGGAGATCCTACTGATATTTCAGATGGTAACGGACAATGAACTTTTAATTGACAGAAATATTTCGTATGTCTGAGTTTATGAGATCACAATAGGTTATCTAGTTTGTTCCCTCAAAACCAATGAAAAGATACAAATCTTTTTAAAATTCAAAACCATAGTAATTTCTCCATCCGTCACGAACAAAATGTGTAGGTTCTCCATAACCATACAACCCCGCCACGAACAGTAAGGCCCTGAGCACAAAGCCAAGGAACCTACAAGTATTCAACCCCGTCACGAACAGTAAGACTCTCAGCACAAAGCCGAGGAACCTGCAAGTATTCTTCCTCCAACTATACCCCCAATAAAACATGTTTCGTCCTTAAACGAATATATTAAAAATCAAAACATAATTCAGGTCAAGTATCAGATTAGAATCTATGTCAGGTATCATAACAGAATTCAGATCAGAAATCAGATAAAATATTCATCTGATTAGGGAACACACCAGAGTTTACATATATTATTCAGAGGTACTGGATAATCTTAACAAGCAGAGAAACACAGATCTTTAGTATACCGATAGAATGGCAGAATTTAGAATCACTATTGGAATAATTCAATAACTAACAGAATCATCAGTTATTCAGAATGAGACTTGAGTTGATAAAGAAAAATGAAGATTCAGGACATTTACAGTCTATGTCAATCTATCGGATTATCGAAATAACTCAAGCTGAAAAACTCCCAGAACTAATGTCTGTTGACCGATTCATTCTTTGTCCTTCAGGTATTCATTCTTTAATAACAACAATTAATGTCCATAAATCATCTTTGGAGTCATCGCTGAATGGGTCTTCCAAGGGTCTTCCTTTCACTTCCACGCTTCAACGATATCATGAAATGCTGACGTACTTGATTTTTGGTTCATAACCCATAATAATTGTACACTATGTAACCTCATCAGAGTTTCCAGACTTATCCAAATCACTTACTTAATCCTCAATCATTGAGGTTACTTAGTTCATTTAGTAGTCACCATTCCAGTTACTTTGGGGTTTTCCAGGGTAATCTAGACGTTTCTGATTTTCGGATACATACTATACTTTCGTTCAATTCAATTTGGTCTTCGTGGTTGATTTGTATAAAAAATATTAAATTCTTAGTACTGAATGTGATCTAGAGTTGAGCTGAGCTGAATACTTCCAAAATTATCATCGAGTCAAACTTGAGAAGATGAACACGCATTCAATTAATATATATGTCGTTCAAGTACTGACATATCATTATGGTTGATCGGCTCACTTAAGGTGTATTCTATAACTTTTAAAGGTAGTCCAACACCTATGCTTATTTGGATTTCTTAATTAATCCAAGACATATACTTAGTATAGGCCGTAAGGGTATTTTGGTCATTTTGATGTTCAGTTTTATTCCATTCATTACAGAGCTCGAGGATATCCCATCATTCCTGAGCTTGGTGATATTCTTGGGTCATTTCTATTACAGGGTTATTTTGATCATTTTACAGATCTGGTGTAGTTCAATCATTTCCTTCCAAATGATCTTATTAATTCAAACGTATCATCTTTTCCATACATTTCGAACAATTTTGACAAAAGAGCACCCTCGATAATTTATTCGTAACTCGGAGATTTTCAGATCAATTTTCTTCTCGGAAATTACTAACAGGTTATCAGGAATTTTCTGTACAAAGACATGATCTTAACAATTAAATCCATAATTTATCGAGTTAAGTAAGAATCCTCAAAGTATTTTCTCATTCAGGGTCAACTCTAATTATTTTTACCTCTTAAGGGTATTTTTGTAATTTCTTAACCATATAACTTCAGTATTAACACTTAACGAAAATAATTATAATTTAGAGATCCTATAGTTAATTGCTTTCCTAAACATTCTCTAGTCTTGAAATGATTCCTTAACAGACTTCTAGTATCTTGCACAAACCCTCTTGGGGTTAAAAACCTGTTATCCAAATTTTGCAAGTAAAGCTAACATTTCTTATGCACATCAGTAGTTTTATCAGATCATTATATCTTTTCAGATTTATTAATCCACTTCCAGGGACAATTTTTGTCATTTTCCAACATAAGGGTAATTTCGTAATTTTACCTAATCGAAGTATTTTCATACCTTATCAAATGAGATAGATTATAAATTGCATATCCAGTGTTGATTCCTATATCACTTAATTTCATAACTTGTAATTGAATTCAAACTGTCCTTCAATTTCTTATATTAGTCATCTGATCCATATTCAGTTACCGAATTTTTACTGTATTCGAATTGAGTGTAGAACTTCATTAATTACACATATGAGACCAAATATTTTCATTCATGCATTTACCACTACTAACATGTTTCATAAAGCGTGAAAAGGTAGTAATGTATTACCTCGATTTTCATGCCATACTAATCGACCATTTAAACTCCATTCAAACGCCCTCGATCTTAAAATCAACTTCCAATAATTCCTCGAATACATATCAATAGAAATTACATAAAAAACGGAGCTTAATTCCGAAAAATATATCGAAATGTGAGATAAATCAGTCAAAAACAGCTTATCGGGTTCGAATTTGGCGAAACGGACCCCAAAAACGGATTCGAGACATAAAAATTACAAAATATGATTTTTCGAACATTTTGACTTTTTCGGTCAAAGTCAATAGTCAACGGCGGTCAAAGGTCAACGGTAAACGATTTTACACAAATATCACCCTAACATAAATTAATTACAAATTAGGCACCATTCTAAAAATATTTTAAAAACTAACACCCAAGTTTTACACAAATATCACCCTAACAGAAATTAATTACAAATTAGGACTTCTCCACGCACAGGCGGCGCATGGGGCGCGTGCGACGCTGTGGAGTGTCAAACAATTCCCGAAAAAATTACTAAAAATTATTTTAAGAACTTTTGAGATACTTACCAAGCTCGGTTCACAATTTTGAATGGCAGAGAGATCGATTCCGAAACATCAAAAACTTTCACTTTCTCACCCTCCACGCACCGGTGAAGTCGGAGAAACAGATGACATCGGTGGATGCGGAACGATGCAAAGAAGACGATGGTGTGGGAGGTGTCGAAAACGGGTGACCGGATCGACGTGAATCGACGAAAAACCAACGAAAATTGAGTTAAAACCGATAATACTTCCAACTGAAATTAACGACGAACGATGACAATTCACGAAGAAAGGTTTAAGGGGTTTTGTTCATCGGTTACCAACGAACACGATGGTGATTTCGGTTCTTCAAACGGACGTCGGACGGTGTGTAGATCGGAGTTGAAATGAGGGTTGAAGGGAAGGGAAAACTGGGAAACATTATGCAGAAACATACGGGAAATGGGGGTTTATATTTTCTCCTAAAGAAAAATGATCAAATCATGAGTTTAGCCACTGAATTTCATGCACTTCTTAAAATGGTATTCTAACTTTGCGATTTTACAATTTAATCCTCAATTTCACCCCAAAATACCAATTAAATCCAATACTTTATAATTTCTTAATTTTAGCCCCTAAATTGAGGTGTTACAGAGATTGAGCTGAATATAAATGAACATAAACGAACATAAATGAATGAACATACACGGACATAAATGAACAAACATAAATGAACGATCATAAACGAACGGATTACCGAACGTTCACGAATGTAAATGAAACGAACGAGACATTTGTTTGTGTTCGTTCATTTAATTAAACGGATATAAAATCTTGTTCATGTTCATTCGTTTAATAAATTAACGAACATAAATGTACTTCTCACCAAATGATTCACGAATAATTCAATGAGCGTTCGTTCATTTACCGGCATACTGTTAAGATGTTCAAAATTGTTAGGTAAAAATATTGGGAATTCTTTTTTGTTATGGGAATAATTAGGATAGTCGTCCGTTCAAGTCCCAACCCACCCATCATTTTCTCATGATTCCTATTTTGCGGTGGAGGAAGCTTTTATCGTTGGTTTGCTTGCCTTGTCTACAAAAAATCAATATTCCTTACATTTTCATTAATGATTGGCATATAGTTGATGCGCTATCAGCCGTAAATATAATATCACTTAAAATTAGGGAGGGACACAATACTTAGATTTTTTTGGATAAGTAAGATTTTTATTATCCAACATGAAAGTTCAACAAATAGCAATCATCCCAAGTGGGAGAATAAGCCCCTATTTACAACAAAAGATAGATTAGTCAAGACCCCAATGGCTACAAAGAATATAATTAACATGATCAGTCCTATTAATGTCTTTATCACTAAGCTGAATACGGACAAATTCCTTGATAGACTTGAGAATTTGATCTGTTGTTCTTGATCCACCTTTAAAAATCCTTCTATTTCTCTCCTCCCATATTAAGTAGTTAAAAGCGTTCCAGACAATTCTTAGGATAATAGAAAGTAAGGATTTTCCCTTCCATTTTTGAGTAGCACATTCAATCCTTGAATTCCAAGTCCCGTGAGAATCTCGCAAGTTGGTAAGAATCATGATAGAGTTCCAGATAGAAGAAGCATAGACACAGTTAAAAAACAAGTGGTTCTTGGATTCTGGTTCATTATTGCGAAGGATACAATTTGAGATTCCCATTCTAAAAAGTCTATCACGAGTAGGAAGACGGTCGAGGATAATCATCCAAGAAATCATACTATGTTTGGGAATGTGGAGAGGAAACCAGAGCAATTTCTTCCATGTAACCTTTTCTCTATTCTCCCTTAATTCATCCCAAATAACAGAGGTTTTAGTGATTCCAGCAGAAATAATAGGAAGGGCCTGAGTTCTAAGTTTGAGAAGCTTTCTAATGCTCCAGCTAAAAGAAGAACTAACATTGATGTCACTTAATTCTCTATTTTTAATAACATAACAGTGAATCCAAGCAACCCACAGAGATCTATTTCTCGCAAGAAGTTTTCGAATAAGTTGAATCATGCAAGCCTTGTTCCAAGAATTAAGATCCTTTAAACCAAGGCCTCCTTCAAATTTAGGGCAACAAAGTCTATTCCAGCTGATCCTGGCTCCTTTGGCAGCTTTATCGGATCCTTTCCATATGAAACGAGAGCAAAGCTGCTCAAGACAATTGATAACCTTCTGGAGAAGGATGAACTGTTGAAACCATAAATTTACAACACTATAGAGGACAGTTTTTATAAGTTCAAGATGTCCAACATAACTTAAAGATTTTCCAGACCAATGGTGAAGTCTAGCTTCGAAGTTGTCAAGAAGTGGAAAACAATATGTTTCAGTAAGTTTCCTAGTGACCAAAGGAACTCCAAGGTATCTGACTGGCAGAAAACCTTGCTTAAATTCAGTGGCAGATTTGATAAATTCAAGAGTTCCAGCAGACACTCCAGCAGCAAAGAATTCAGTCTTATTGACGTTAAAATTAAGGCCAGACAAGGAATAGAAGTGGTTAAGTACACTGGAAACACCAACATAGACTCAAGATTACCTTTGCAAAAAATTAGAAGATCATCAGCAAAAAAGAGATGAGTGATTCCTAGCTTCTTGCATTTTGGATGATAACCAAAAATTCCTCTAGCGGCAGCAAGATTGAGGATTATAGAGAGTATATTCATAGCCAGACAAAAAGATTAGGAGATAAAGGGTCTCCTTGTCTAATTCCTCTCTGACCTTTAAACAATCCTATAAGAGATCTATTAAAAGATATAGAGTATCTGGCTTCTCTGTAACAAGCTTCAATCCATCCTATGAAAGTGTGAGTGTGTCCTATGGCAACAAGAGTAGAAGAAATGAAGTCCCGGTTTAGAGAATCAAAGGCCTTTTGTAAATCAATTTTTATAGCAGACCTTGGGGAAATGTTTTTCCTGCCATAGCCTTTCACCAATTCCTGAGCAAGTAGGGTGTTATCAATTATGGATCTCCCTTTCAAAAAAGCAGTTTGATTAAGATTAATAAGATCTGGTAGCACCAAAGAGAGTCTTTTAACAAGAATTTTTGTGATAATTTTATATACCACTGAACAGCAAGAAATGGGTCTGTAATCTTTAACTTTGCAGGGGTTTTGAATTTTAGGAATCAAGGCTAAAATGGTGGAGTTAAAAGCTTGGTGAATAGTAGCCTCTTGAAAGAAGAAAGTTACAGCATTGACAACATCCTCTCCTACCACAGACCAAGAGATTTTGAAGAACATAGGAGTGAATCCATCAGGGCCTGGAGCTTTGTCGTTCCCTAGACTAAACAAAGCTTCTTTTATCTCTTCATCAAAATTTTTTTAGAAAGATCAGCAGCAGTCTCAGAAGGCAGAGAAAACCGAAGCAGGTTTTTCAAGAAATCAGAATAAGAAGGAAGAACATTAGGGTCAGAAGTTCCTAGTTGCTTCTTGAAGTAATCAATGATCTCATTTTCCATATCATCATAAGACTCAAGTCTTTTATCCTCATTATTAATAAGAACCCTAATATTATCACTTTTGAGTTTAGAGGCAATAGCAGTGTGAAATAATTTGGAGCATTTATCACCTTCTTTAATCCATCTCACCTTTGTTTTCTGTTTAAGGAACATGAGTTCATTATCCTCTAGGGCAGTTAACTCATTTTGGACATTAAATTCTTTTTATAAAGAATTTTGCCCATTTAAAGTAGATAGTTGAATCTGCTCTAGTTCATTTCTCTTTTGTTTTACCCTTGCAGAGATGTCACTATAATTTTCCTTGTTAAATTTCTTCAAGCAAGGTTTTAAACGTTTAAGTTTAATGAAAAGTTTCTGCATAGGGTTTTATTGAGTAGGAAGGTGTCAGGAGGAAAAACTTCTTCGAGAAAATTTAGGTGCTTGGTCCAGAAATTAAAGAATTTGAAAGGCTTAGGTCTATTGGTTTGAGTCTCTTTCGAAGTCCAGACCATAGCCATACTGTGATAAGAGGGACCTGGGGCTAAAAATTCAACAAATGATCCTTGAAAAGAGGAAGCCCAATGAGGGTTTATTAACACCCTATCCAGTTTCCTAGCAAGAAGTATCCTTTTGCTTGTTACTCCAAGTGAAAGTGGGGCCAAAGAAATGATGATCTTGGAGAGAGAGGTTTTGAACTACTTCTTGGAAGTCAAGCATATCAGTGGTAGAGTAAGGGCCAAGAAGATGAGAGTCCGAGCTTTCGTTGAAATTAAGGAAGGTGTTGAAATCACCTCCCAGAATCCAAGGCTGAGATCCATATAAGGAGTCAAGATAATTAAGGTGCTGCCAAAGAGATCTTCTATGGGAACCACTATTACTGCCATATATGGCAGTGATAATGAAAGAAGAATTATTGTTGAAGCATTTGACAGTAATGCTCTGATCAGTAGAAAAGCAATAAGAAATGTCAATGCCTTGTTTCCAGAGAATCCAGATTCTGCCATTGGCAGCAGAATCATAATTAGTAATGATATTCCAGCTACCCAAAGATTTGTGAATGATTTTATCAGAATTTTTGGGTTTAACCCTAGTTTCAAACAGACAGAGAAAATCAACATTGAATAGTTTAGCTCTATTCAGAACCTTGTTTTATTTTTGAGGATTGTTGAATCCTCTTATGTTCCAGAAAGAGATAATCATTGAGAGATAGAGGAAGAAGAGCCCTCTATATTTTTTCCAGGGGTACTTTTGATCTTACTGATATGGTCTTTCTTTTTCGATTTGAGCTCTTTGATGAGTTTGATAACCCCAGCAGCAGCAGGCCTTGCTTTCCTGAGCTGAGTCTCAGAGGGAGGTGAGACTTCATCCACTGTGGATAAAATTTTGAATCTGTTTGATGAACTTCTAATAGTTGTTTTAGCATGGATCTTAATTGGCCTACCTCTACCTCGCTTAGGAATAGTGATAGAATCATTTATTTTGGGGGGAGTTTCAGGAAGTAGTTCAGGTAGATCACCATTAACTGAATCTTCTCTAGGAGTAGGGATAGATGACTGAGCTTTAGTATCCTCATTTGACAAAACAGTAGGGATCATAGAATCATTTTTAGAAAGAATTGTTTGTAAAGAAGATGTATTTCCAGAAACATGTTCTTTATCCTTGATAACATTTTGTTCTGTTGAAGAGGAAGATTCGGGCAGAGAAATTTGCAGGGAAGGATCAGACAGTGGAGTATGCAAGGAATCTAGTTTTTTTTAGGAGTATGATCAGTATTGTCAATTTGGTTTTTTTTTCTCCATATTTTTGGAGTAGTAGTAGCAAAGGAAGTTTTAACAAAACATCTTTTATTAGAATGTCCAAAAGTGTTACATCTCCTACATCTATTAGGAAACCAAGGGATGTCAACATATATAGTAGTTTTAGAACCATTTGCAAGCATCACTTCAACAGATTTTGGCAGTTCGTCTTTAGCCCCTATCTCGATACATACCCTAGCATATTCAAGCCTATATTTGGAAGCAGTGATTGAGTCCATAGAAATGGGTACTCCTAAGGCACTGGCTATGTAGCTAAGGCCTTTCTTTGAATACAGTTCAAGATGAATATTAAGCAGATGAACCCAAAACGGCAATCTAGATAAGTCAAAATTCAGTCTTTGAAGATTAGGTTCCCATTTCCTAAGTATTAAAGGTTTATGGAGAACATGCCAAGGGCCATTGTCTAGGACCCAGTCCCTAGCTGAATCAGAACTGAATGAGAAAATGTACATATTATTTCCAGCGAGACTAACTTGTACTCGAGCCCTTTGTGCTGGATGATTCCAGAGCTTTTCGATGGTTCGTTGCAGAGTAATGAAATTTGGGGAAACACCTAGGAACTGCCCAACCAGAGAAGACTTCCACTTTGTCGTTCCAGCCTCAAAGACCTCAGGAGGAGGTTGAACAATTAAGGATTCGCTGTTCTGATTTGGGGGAAAATAGGTCAGCTCTTGATTTGCTTGACAACCGAAAAGCTTTCTCCAATCCATACCAGAAGACGGAAAGAACAACTGAGAGTGAAAACAGACCGGAGATCAGAAAGAAACGCCGGCGACGCGACAGGAAACCAAGGTTTTGTTAGTCCTTCTAACGTGCACCTAGAGAAAACGTATCGTGCGCCGTTTTTTACTTTCTACTATATAATACTTAGATTTTATGGGTACTGACTTATTCAATTTTATTGGATCGTTTTTCAGGGGAAAAATAATTAAATTTAGGTTGGATGAATTTTTTAGAGAATAAATTCATCGTATTTAAATGAGATGTCATTATTCGTTTAATGTAGTTATTCTTAAATAACATATTATTATAATAAGATGAAATTAATACATAGGTCTATGTTCAAATTAAAAGGGATGAATTGGGATGAATTATTGCTAGTAATGAAACGATATAAAAGTATTCAATAATAAATATTTTGAACGTCTATGTTAACAACAAAAGAGATTTTTAACGAGATCCCATTTTTTTTTAAAAAAAAACATTTCTCAAAAGGCATCACTCTATAGCGTTCACTTATACCAAGGGTTATACCCTATCATTGTTCACCAAAAAGTCCAAACAACATGAAAAATGAATAAAGGTCCCTCATCACCTGACATAAATAACAAACCTAATATATAATACCACAAATTTCGACTTTAAACTAATCTTAAGATAAGTAGAAATTTCAAGGAGAGCTAAAAAAATAAATGATAAAGGATAGAAGTTAAACAATTTGTCTAGAATTTCCTACCAACAGGTCTTCTCCATTTAAGGCATAGTAAATCACAACCTTTAAACAAATAGCAACCGCCCTTCCATTCACCATCAACACACTTGAAATTAATCGATATTCAACAGAAAAGACGATTTTCATAATATCCGGCAAAATGTCTCATTCTAATTTGGCCTCTCACCTCATCAACTACCCCCTTTAATTATCCTATTCCCAAAGTTCCCCAGACTTTGCGACCCCAAACACTCTACTCTATAAACCTAACCCACACTGCACTAGTTAGGTATAAATGAATTTAAAAAAACATATTTAGACATTAATTTAAAATCAGATCTTTAACAATTCAAAATGAATAGTTTTTGATCGTACATTCTCATATTGTTTAAATATATATTTCTAAATTATATTCTTACAAGTAATTAAACTTAAGTTTTGTCATAAAGAATAAAACTGTATTTTATTAAAATCAATTAATAAATTTAAAATTCATATAATCTTTTACATATTAATACATCAGTAAAAACTTACTTGCATAACGTGCCTTTATAAAAATATTACTTTCCTATATTAATTTTTATGTTATTTACATAAATAGTTTTAAAAGTTATGTCAAAACGATAATACTGCCTCCAATCCGAATAATAAATCATCCAGATTTTGTTACCTAAATAGACAAATTCTTGTTTGACGTGATCTTTTAAAAGTATTTTTAGTTAACAGAATCTGTTTAAAATCAATATTAAATGGATAAAATAATTTAAAAAATTATGTTAAAAACAATAGTTTCAAACTAATTATAAAAACTAGAACTTATAATATTTTTATTTAACTTTTACCTAAAACCAAAGTGAAAGCTTAGAAATTAAACTAACTCTGACTGAAACCGGACATTTTTACTTCGTCTGTCAGTAAACCGGAGTTCTTTAGGGAGAAAACAACAAAAAAAAGGTTGGCGCTTTATTTGACACCAATCAAATCCTTCGGTGTCGTCTTCCTCTTTGGATTTAAAGTCGTCTTCTTTTCTACTTTTTCTTTCTGAAAAAAATAATGGCCAAGTGTTTCAGCTTTACTGCAACGCGGGACTGGTGTTTCCGCTACAGCTTTTCCAACGCCGGCCTCCGATCATCGACGACGGACCTCGGCGATGGCACCGTCATGCACGTTTGGGCCCCAAAAGCTCACATCGAATCCAAGCCCACGTTAGTCCTCATTCACGGCATAGGCGCCAACGCGATGTGGCAATGGAACGACTTCGTGTCACCCCTGATGTCCAGATTCAACGTCTACGTCCCGGATCTCCTCTTCTTCGGCGACTCCTACACGACCCGACCCGAACGTTCGGAACAGTTCCAGGCCCAGTGTGTCATGCGGGTCATGGAGGCCCATGGGGTTACAGTTATGAACGTTGTCGGGATCAGTTACGGCGGCTTCGTCGGTTATAGTATGGCGGCGCAGTTTAAGGAGAGAGTCGAGAAGTTGGTGCTATGTTGCGCCGGGGTTTGTTTGGAAGATAAAGATATGGATGAAGGGATGTTTAAAGTGAAGAGCGTGGATGAAGCTGTTAGTATTTTGCTGCCCCAGAAGCCCGACAAGATGAGGGAATTGATGAAGATTTCGTTTCATAAGCCCGTTAAAGGAGTCCCTACTTGTTTTCTAAACGATTTCATCCATGTACGTGAAGCTTCTCTAATTCTTTTGAATCATTTTTTCTTCGAACCATGTCCCGATATGAACAAACAGATGGTGTTAGATTAGATTTCTGGGTATCTTTGATAGTCATAAGTTGGTATCGAAATTCGATTTTGATGGCAGGAAATGTGCACAGAGTATTTTCAAGAGAGAAAAGAACTGATCCAAGCATTACACAAGGATCGAAAGCTGTCCGATCTTCCGAAGATAAACCAGGTTAGTGCAGTTTGTCTGGAATTTTAATTAACATAGTCTTTATTGTAAGTAGTAAACGTTGTTCATATGCGCAGCCAACACTGATACTCTGGGGAGAATATGACCAAATATTCCCCTTGGAATTGGGACACAGATTGAAAAGGTAACTGATAATGTATTTCGGTTTCCTTTTATCTTTCGGGTTCTTGATTTGGTTGGAGTGTGATAGTGATGTTAAGCTGCTAATGCAGCCATCTGGGAGACAACGCAGAACTAGTGATCCTAAAGAATGCAGGCCATGCTATCAATGTTGAGAAGACTAAAGAGTTATCTAAGTACTTCAAATCTTTCCTTACTGATTCACTTCCTCCTTCGAAACCCAGAAACTATAGCAATGGCTGTAAAACAGATTGAAAGGTATGCAAAAATCCAGGAATTGCCTTACTATCACCATTTACACCGATTCCTTCCTTACCTGTAAGGCTTTTTGTTTGGTTTTTTTATTAGATTGCAGATGATCCTTCCCAGTCAGTCATGTTCAGATGATGGAATTTGTTATACAGATTAAGCATGCTTCAAACATTTGTAATTTATGTATAAATTCTCGAACTTAGATTGGCATCAAAGGGCAGTTGTTTTTAGAGCAAAGCTTGACATTTGCAGCTTGTTTTAGATCATTAATCCATGCAAATGCTTGTTTTTCTTAATATCATTTATATGATTCTTGATGAAATTTTGTTTCCGTTTTTTTACCATACATATATAAAATATCAATGCAATAATCATGACCAGAACATTGCTGCAATCTTTGTTATTGGTTTTGGTGGGACGATTTCTTATCGTGCATAAGAAATACAGAATTTCTTTGGTATGGAGTCTTTTTTTGGAATGAAAATCAAAGCCTTTGACGTTGTTATTCTCTGATTCTGTTCAAACTCTGAATTCCTCTTTCGTTTAATATTTTGTAGTTCATCTTCTCTTTTGTTCAAATGATTCAACTGAGGTGCATGTTTCTGATCATCGACTCTCTAACATTGTGTATACTTGGTCATCTAATAAATATATTCTGCTTTACTTACAACTTTTCCAAGTGGGGTAAGGTTCTTGACTTCTTGGAGTCTATCACAAACCTTACAATATAGAAAAGAAGCTGCCATAGAAATACACTAAAAGGAAATCAGGCATTAGTCATTGCCTTCTTCAAGCAGCAATGCAGAAAACCAGACCAACCCAGAGTCGCAGCCAAATCTTCCCTGCAAATTTTTTTTTTAAAATAAGGGTTTTTCTTTTTCTTTTCAAAAATATCTTCAAATATTCTCTCTTTTCTTTAAATATAAAAACCAATAATTAAAAAAAACTCTAATATATATATTTTATAAATGTAATTGCTTTAATGTGCTAAGTTTATAATTGTCTTATTCAAAAATGATTCAAATGTACATTCTCCAATAATGCAATGTGTCGTGTCACTACACACACTATTTGTTGTTATTGTAATTATTTTTTTCAGTATTTTTCTGAAATTTTAAGAACAAATATTTATTTAAAAATATCATAATTTTTAATTATAATGTATTTAAAAATTATTAAAAATTTAAGTTCAGATCGAAATTATTTAGAAAAATATATTTATGGAAAACATATCAACACTTAGGGGGTGTTTGGATCAGGGGGTGTTTGGATCAAGGAATGTAGATTCCCATGGGAATGGAATTCACATTCCCATGTTTGGTTGGCAGGGAATCTCATTCCGGTAATATTTTATTACCAATAGTATATTTTTTGGAGTATATTACCGGGAATGTCATTACCTCTCTTTCCTTAGGTATTGTTCGATTACCGGCATTTTGGACTAAAATGTCTTAATTTTTTTTTTCAAAAATATCATTTTTCTGTCATTGAATAATAAAAATTCTACGAAGGTTAATGGGAATGGAATTCACATTCCCATGTTTGGTTGGCAGAGAATCTCATTCCCGGTAATATTTTATTACCAATAGTATATTTTTTGGAGTATATTACGGGAATGTCATTACCTCCATTTCCTTTAGGTATTGTTCGATTACCGGCATTTTGGACTAAAATGTCCTTAATTTTTTTTTAAAATATCATTTTTCTGTCATTGAATAATAAAAATTCTAGGTTAAATTACAAATTTATCCTTAAACTATTTTAGATTTACAAAAAAAAATCTATAATTAAAATTTTATATGAAGTTTAGGGGTTAAAATAAAATTTTACCCTTTTATTAAACCTTTTTTATATTTTCAATTTTGTAAAAAAATATATAAATTTTATGAATTTAAATTTTTTAAAGAAAATATATAAATATTTTCTAACTTGTTAAAAAAACAAATATATAATAAAGACAATTTGGTCAAATATACATTTCAATAATCTTTTATTTTTTTTATCAAAACACGGTAATCTTGCATTCATGCTAAACTAACCAAACACAAAATACAATATTCCCAATAATCCTATTCCCTGATAATCTTACATTCCCACTTGTAATCTTATATTCGTGAACCAAACACTCCCTTAAGAGTCGAGTTCAATGTTCTCATTATAAAAAAAAATTATTTTATGCGAGAAGAATGACAGATTCAAAAAGATCCCGACACATGTTTCTTTTTCTGTAAAAAATTATTTTCTATTTAAAATTTTATATTAATTTTATAATTTAATTGTGTTCTCAAATCACTTTTTTAAACTATCTCAATGATTAAATATATAGTTGATATTTTTAGGGTCTAAGGTTCGAACATATTATATATAAGAAATATTTGAACGTTAATTATCAAATGAGTTGAGAGTATTTTAAATAGATACTATTTTATAATTACTTTTAAATTAATAAAAATCATTTTTCAAAGATATATTTTTAAATAATTTAAAACTAGACATTAATTCTTAAATAATTTTTTAAAACTTGATATTTAAAAAAATCCAAAGATATCATCAAATAAAAATAATTTTTTTCTTTTGGGATCAACTTTAAAGCTTTATATATAACGTCTCCCTTTTGATTTCATTTTATTTTTTTGTTAAACTAAAAAAATAAGTTATACCCTTAAGCTCCAAGACAAATTCCAATGGCATATATACCACCCAAAAATTACCATCAAGTGCTTATCAAAACTGAGTTTCACTAACTTTCTAAAAGCATAAGCATCCGGTACTCCCATCTACCCAGTACTATATCTTTTTATTTAGTACTTTTTACAAATTTTAATTTATCACTACTTCCTATTATATATAATTATAAGATAATGTATTCACATTATGTTTTGTATTATATTTGTATCATAGTGTTTTGTTTATATCATGTAGTTTTGTAGTGTCTAATATTACTAATTGCCACCATCTTCATATGAAGGACGGATATAAAATTTATATTAGAAGAGGATTTCATAAAATTTAAAGAGTTAAAATAAATTATTAGTATAAAATATATATAAAAAATCAATATTGTTAGTGGAACACTACCTCTCCATAAATAAAATAAATCAACTAAAGGAAAGCAGAAAAACTTACAGGTTGATAAAGATGTGGAACTCCCGATAACATCTTCATAACCCTGAATCGGATTGTAGTTATTGTAGCAATCCGTACTGGTATTGAAACCATTGTTGCAGATACAGAGGAACGAATTACCAGGAGGAGAATAGCCGCAGATTCCGCCGCTATCCTCGCAAGTGTTACATTTGTTGTTCATATAATAATCATCGAAACCTCCGTCGGTATACTTCAACGTCACCCCATACAGCCATTTACTGGGGTCCGTCGGAGAATCTTCCAAGGAAGCAATCGACGTATACCCTTTGCATTTCATTTCCCTCATGTCCAATTCACCTTTGCCGTTAAAATTCGCCGGCGAGTACACGCAGCAGGTGTTGGTATGCGGGAAAAGCGGAAGCTCAAGGTTGACGGCGGCGGGACAAGTGTAGAACGTGGCGCAGAGGTGGGTGGAGGAAGGGTCACACACGGGGGAGCCCTTGATGGTGAGCGACGACGTAGGGGGAGTGCATGAGAGGAGGAGGAGAATTGATGGGCCTAGCTGGAAAGGACTGGCCCAGTCGAGCCCCAAGTTAGGCGATTGTTGCATGGAGTTGCATGTGGACATGGCCGATGGGGTGATCGTAACGGTTGAGTCTTTGTAGGATATGGCGGTGATTAGGTACGAGTCAGTGTGGGTTGTTAGCAGGAGCTGGTTCGAGTTGCAGGTTACGTAGGTTCGAACCGTGGAGAGCCACACCCGTAGCCAGTGCCAAAAGGGTACTTGATTGGAAGTGAGCCACAGTTGGAGCGGCATGGCGTGGCCGGTGCGGCGGAACTATGCGAGGGATTGATGGAGGCGGCGATCAGGAGGACGATGAAAGGAAGACGTGGATTATCCATTGGCTCAAGCTTTCGGTTTTGTAACTGATAACTTTAAAGGGAAATGGCTCAATGTTTTTTTTTTGGGATTTGGGGAGTTTTTGGTTTCTTTTGTCAAGTCCTTTGAACTAGACAAATACTAGATGCTTTTATGATGCAGGCATTGAGTGTCTAGTAATCTAAAATAAGTTTGAATTTACGTTAAAATGAGCAACGAACCACAATAATATTTAGTCTTATTATACCAATTGGTATTTAATTTCATAATTTGTATAATAAAACTAATATATAACAATATCTGTAGGGGTGACAATGGGGCGAGGCGGGGATAGTTTTGCATTATCCAATCTGTCTCCAACACTTGCGGATACGGTTTTGGAGAATCTCCATTATATGTTTCGGGGATTTTTTTTGTCCTCATATCCATCCCTTAAGGATCCCTACGGGTTTCGGTTAATCCCCATCCAAAAAATAAACAAACATTTTTTAAAATCAATGCAACACCTAAAACTTGTAAGATATATCAAATTATCTCAAATTGGTCTCTATCTATAATATAAAAGTTTCAAACATCAATATTCATCTAGCACCCGATGTATATGTACAATCTTAACCATTTTCAATATCAACAAATCAATGCTTATTAAATAAGAAAATATTTAAACTTCAATTTTAGTTCTTTTGAGATGTAACATTAGCAACACATAATCTCACAATCTTATTATATATATATATATTAAGGGTATATATGTAAATGATTATAAATATATTTTTAAAATTTTGTAAAATATCAGGGATTCCTACGGATATTTTTTGAGGATTCCCACGGTTATTCACATGGGCACTGTTTGGTTATCCATGCGGTTTGGATATAGCAATCCCCGTCCTCATCCCCATTTGAGATTTGGGGATAAAACTTCCCCATCCCCATTCCTGTGGGTAAAGATTTCGGTTATTCCATATTCCCATCGGTTCGGATCCCCACGGTTTTCGGTTTTTCCCCTTGCCACCCTTAAATATTTGGTTATATTGGCTTAATCTTCTTAAAGTCCAAAATAATAAAAGAATTCGATAACATTGGTTGTTATATTCTCATTTATTTATTTTACTGTAATTTATTGATTGTTTACCTTTTTATTCTACTTCCAGGGGTGAATTTAGGAGAAAAAGAGGAAATTGGGGACCGAACTTCATTTATAAATTTTTAGAGAGTTGAAATGTAATTTTATTGTTGAACATTTGAGCTGAGCTGCTGAGGTATATTTGTAAAAAAGTCAAATAGAATTTCGATACCATTTCTAACACCATGGCCCTGTAAGCCCTGTCAAGTTATATAATTAAACACCGAGCGAATTAATTGATTCTCGTTTCATTGGTTGAACGGCTAAATCCAATTTTCACGATCATGATAATATCTGCAACTCTATCTTAAACAAACGTTATGTATAGAACCAAAAACACAGCGCTTAAAATCTTAGAACTACAGGGACGAGATTATAAGAGAATAGAATCTTTTGAGATGAGCATCGAATCGAATGTGAGAAACATAAGGTACAATCTAAGAGAGAATAAACTTTGTTGGAAGTTTGCTTAGCTGAGAAGCCATCCAGAACATTTATGTGTGACCAACTATTGTTCTACCTCACATTCTTGCAGGATAATTAACTTTAAAACCCAGTACATGCATCTTTAAAAGAATGATAAAGTAAAATAGTAATCAAAATTAACTGTGGATGCTATGGTCGATTCGAAGATACCAGCTGAGACGCAGGCTAACAGCACCCTTGTAATGGCAAAGAAAGGTGGCCCGGTTCTAAATAAAAGCGACATTGTTTGTGTAATTGATAAATTGAAGGGGGCCAAAACAACATTTATTCCATTTAACAAGGGGCATGTGAACATTAAACAAAGGATTCCTACAGATTGACACATTATATTTGCATTGTCAAGGGATGGATTCTTACTGTTAACTCAAAGAGGAGATTTCAAATCAATTTTTAAATGGTGAAAACAATAAATAATAATTAGGGACCAGCAATGCACGACTTTTGGATCAGCTGCCGCTACAAATGTTATGTTTGTGTAACAGTATCATAGTAATGCTTCTGCCTTTTCCCTTTGATTCCCCACTAACACATCAGTGCTTTTAATTCAATATAGGGGACCATTCACAATTTTCTTCTTCTTTTCATACTTTTAAACAAAAGCAAACATTTTACTTGGTCTGGCAAATATAACCTAACGTTGATTCTTGGTTTTAATGAAACCGATGGCTCTTTTTTCTTATAAAACCATTCATTAATGAAAGAATTAACATGCTTGCAGCATTCTAGTCAACCGGATGGGCATTCAACAGTGGTGTGGGAGAAAGTGATGGGATAGTTGACGTCCCCATGAAAATCCCCAGAAAATAATAATTACTATACAAAATCCTAAAATATCGATCATATTATAATATGACTGCAATTTCTTTCTAGTTACCAACACGGAAAATGATTAAACGAAGGATTTACAATAATACAGAAGCTTGAAAAACAACTAACAATGCTTTATTTAATTTTGCAAGGGTTGTAAAAGTGATCACCGCAGCTGCATTTCCAACCAAGAGGCTTGTAATTGGAGTATTGGTTACCTGATGGGTCAAAAAACTGCATGGGACTCGTGACTGCTGCTCCTGGTTTGAAGCGGTCGTGGTGGCTGCCGGGCGATGTGGGAACTTGAACCGCCATGCAAGGGTGGCAGCCGTTGCATCTGTTGTGGCAGCTTGGAGGAATCGATCCCAGTCTTGTCTTCTCTTCAAAAGATGAACCCTGTTGACAAAATATATGGAACAAGGTATAAAATAAATGGAAAAAGAGAAGAATGTTCATGGGGAGTTGGATGCTAACCGGAGCAGGGGAGTTTGCAGGTTGAAAACGGTGAAGTGAAGATGCCGAAGCAAGGAGGAGGAAGAAGGTAAGGAGAGAAGGAATAAGTGAAGTCATGATAATGATGATGAAATTAATAACAGTAAAAATCAGTCTTTTATTGCAACAACCGAGAAAAAGAATCAATGGAACTCTAAACTGCAGAGTACAAAATAAATTAAATTAAATTAAAATATATTATATATAGCAAATTCGATTAAATTCATGTAATGTTAAGATACCCAAATTAAATTAAATTTAAATAATTTACTATCAAAAACTCTCATTTATACAAATATAAAGGAAGAGTATGGGTTAATAAATAGGGGTAGTTGCTGGTGGTCTGACCTCAAAATGAGAGTGAAAGGCACAACACAGAAAAGGTAAACAATTTGGGAGAATCCAAATCGCAGAGGAAAGGGGATCCGATAGGCCTATTTCTTATCTTAGTAATTTGATTCCACTCTTCAGTAATTAGTGACTGCAAATTCACTTTTGATTCCAAAACTGTGCTTCACAATTTTAGATGAACTATTTTTGTTTTTTTTTTGCCATTTTGGTTCGCACATTTTATGTTGTTGTTGGGCGAGTCTCTCAACTGAGATATTATGCATTTAAAATGATTCAAACTCAAAACCTATTCAAACGGAATTAAACTATTTATCACTTGAACCGATGTCCGTTGATTAGATGGATTAATTTTAAATCTATGTGAGGTAAGGAAACTAGTTTTCAAACTTGATTTATTTAAAATTATTTTATCATTATAAAAATATTTATGTATAAAACTTAAAATATAAAATTGAAAACGAAATATTTCATAATACAATAGTTCCCACAACACACTTATTTAAATGAAAAATGTCAAGAAATTCTCACGACTCAATGTGGTGAATTTATTAAAATAATATGTTTTTTTCCATTGAAATAACATTTAAAGATGTTATTTTCGTATTAGGATGAAGCAGGGACAGAGTCAAAATTAAATATTGACAAGGGTCGAAATATTATACTATTTTAGAAAAATATAAAGACTTATTAGGTATTTAAACTCAAAATTTAGTATTAACAAGCGAGCATAGTTATTAAGGGGATTGTTGTTATCCTTGAGGTCCCGAGTTCAAGCACTGCGTATGTAAGGGTATGAATATTCATTATCAAATAGTTGAAAGTATTTGTACATATACTACCTTGTATTCACCTTAAATTTATAATAAAAAAACTCAAAATTCACGAGACAACTTCTGATTTGTCTAATATTTAAACTTACAATGACCAAAATTGTAATTAGAATAAAAAATTGAGAGCAATACTTATCATTTTTTAGTTCAACTACTACTTAATTAAATATTTAATAATTTTTTATATTTTTAAAGTTTAAATATTTATTTTTATATGAATCTAAATACTATTAAACTAAAATTATATCGAATATACAAATTTTAACAGGGTCGGGGCCCCTTGGGGCCTAAGGGAGCTCTGTCCCTGGGATGAAGGTATGTTTTTTAAAATATATTTTTTTATATAGATAAAAAACGTAATTGCACGAACACGAATTGATTAAATAATAATATTTATATATAGATATTATCTTTAATTATTCTGTAAATATGTGTGAGTATATATATATATATATATATATATATATATATATATATAACATTATATTTAAATACTTTAAAAATTTTATATATTAAGACTGAGATTTTTCTTCATAATTAAATTACAAATTTTAAAGGGTGGTTATATAAAAAAATTACAAATTTTAAAATTATATTTTACAACAAACTACTCAAATATTGTATTACTTTTTTATTTTGTCGAAAAAGAGATTCCGTTTGAATCTTCCACTCCAAGCCGAACTTTGAGAGATTTTTGAAGGACTTCAATTGGTATTATCCCACAGAACGTCTTCAATGCTAAATAGATAACGTTAAACCTCTTAATCTCGTGTCTTCGTCAATGGCTAAATGCAGCCCAATTGCTTTTTGTTCGTTCTATTGTAAAACTCATATCAAAACAATGGACGATCAAATTCATTCTTATTCGTCGTGAAACTAATGTTGTAGCAGACTTCTTTACGAAATCTACCGTTAATTCAAATAAACAAGCTCAGACTTATACTGAACCGCCTCATAAGATTAAATCACTTCTTCACCGTGACCTCTATGATCATGCTTTCCTTCACACTTAGTATTTCATTGTAATAGTCTTCCTTATAATTAAAAAAAAAATGAAACAAGTCTCTGTTGTTATGTTCCAATACATCGCAACTTACAAGAATCAATCGTCTGATGATCTGAAGTGCACCAAATAGATCATACTCCTAGTAGTAGCTGATAATCTGTACGGTAAAAGATCCAAGATTCCCATTCTCCAAACCATCGAGTGACCCTACCATCCAGAATCCATCATAAAAAAAATGCTAAAATTCCAAAACCCTAATAAAGAATTTATCTCTAAACAGTCAGTGGATTTGGTAAGTACGCAGAGATGGAATCCAATCGAAAAGCCAGTAAAATTCAACGGCTGTGATTAAAGGACTTTTATATTTAAATTAGAAAATCCACTGGTATTTTCATACAAATTCCTTCCTCAGCAGCCTCCGCAAGGCCATCCATTCCATAGCCCAACCATGTGTGGAATACTTGCAGTTTTTGGCTGCGTTGACAACTCTCAAGCTAAACGTTCCCGTATTATCGAACTGTCCCGAAGGTGATTTAAGAATCTAGATTTTAACGTTTTTGTTTTTTCTATAGATGAAAATGGTTGCTGATTTTTATTTTAAAATGGAGAGTGTAGATTGAGACATCGAGGTCCTGATTGGAGTGGACTACATTGCCATCAAGATTGTTACCTTGCTCATCAACGTTTAGCTATCGTAGATCCGGCTTCAGGCGATCAGCCCCTTTATAACGAGGATAAGTCTGTTGTTGTCACGGTATACTCTCTTCCTTTTCCGTCCGTGGTTGGTGTATTAATCATGAAAATAAATTACCTTTTTATTTTAGTTTTATCATATGCTGTTTGTTTTTACCGTAAAATGTTTATATTTTTCAATAATTAAACTTCAGTTTATATATTATTCAAAACAAAATGCATGAGTTATGTTGTAACTGGTCTTTCGTTTTGATATAGAGATGGATATATGGTTTTAATTCTTTGTTTATTTATATTATCACGTGTGGTTTTATTTTCTGTTATTTGCTTTTCCTTAATATTATAATTTTGGAAAAAAAAGAAATGTAAATAAGAAAAAATAAGTAGCAACAAAAAAATAACAGTAAGATGGAGCCATAGTTAGAATGCAATGTTTGATTTTTCTTACATGTTTGGTTGATTATTGTAGGTTAATGGAGAGATATATAACCATAATCAATTGAAAGAAAAACTGAATTCCCATCAGTTTAGAACCGGAAGTGACTGTGAAGTGATTGCTCATCTGGTAAGTACCTGAGAGGTTGGATGTTAAAGTCCGTTATTCGTTTTTTTGCATCCCATAGTGTCTTTTACTTAATTGTATCCTGTATACCAATTTTGGCTACTTACTTTTTTCAGTATGAAGAATACGGAGAAGATTTTGTAGACATGCTGGATGGCATGTTCTCATTTGTTCTTCTCGACACTCGTGACAAAAGTTTCATTGCAGCTCGAGATGCTATCGGAATTACCCCACTTTATATCGGATGGGGTCTTGATGGTATGCGGTTTTCCTTCTTATAGGATCTGACTGTTAGATCTTCTTTTGAATTATAATTTGTAGGGCATTATGGACTTAAGAAGTTTCATTTTCTCTACTCATTTTTGTCAAATTTTGAACAATTTTATTTTTATTGTATTTTTTCTTTTAACTGATTTTTCGTCAAATGTATAACATAAGGCAAAAAATAGTTATTATAAGGCTAATTTGGAGGCTGTTTTGTGAACCTGGTCTTCGATCCAATGGTTATCCCACCTCCTTAGGACCACCTTTTTTTTCTTTCAAAAAGCCTTAGGTTTGTCCCTTGAACAGTTTGCAGAATAGGAAAATGTATGTCCTGAAGAATATCTTAGCAACCTTTCCCGTTGCCCTTTTGAAATCTTTTGATAGCTTGATGCTGGATATAGTTAAGACTTAAGAAACATGCAAATATCGACTAGCTTGTGGTGCCACATTTGTTTGTTTTTGGATTGATTCAATGCTTTGTGCTTAGCTTCTTTTGCTTGATTAATAGTTTTCCATTCTGATTCTGATTTTTATACTCTTTCCTTGTAATGGATGGATACTTCTAATTAATGGCTAGTTAATTTGCAGGTTCTGTATGGTTTGCTTCTGAGATGAAAGCTTTGAGCGATGACTGTGAACGATTTATGTCTTTCCTTCCAGGGCATATATATTCGAGCAAGCAAGGTCATTTTTTTATATATTAATTCCTAACTGGCTTAGAAACTGTTTACCAACTTCTTAAGGAGAATCTGAAATTTTTATGGTATATGATATTCATCTCTTGTCAATAGTCCAGCTATGAATTCTATGAATTTGCTTTTGTTTTTCGGTGTTCTATGCTATGCCTTTTATTTGTTGTATTTCAAAATGTTTGCAGGAGAGATTAGAAGATGGTATAACCCCCCATGGTACTTGGAAAAGATACCTTCAACCCCATATGATCCTAAAGTCCTACGGGAGACTTTTGAGAAGGCATGCTTTAAACCTTGTGCTTTGGCTCTTGTTTTTTAATTTTATTCTTTTGCTGTTAGCACTTTGGAATTGTATGTCATTATGTCTCAACTATTACCAAAACAATTGGTGGAAATTATAGCACTTGAAACTATTTTGGAAGTAACTCAAGTAAGCATTATTGATCAAGTAGTCACCATGTCATTACTGTGTAGCACTCCCATGCTTCTGCAGTAAAATTCTTTTGAGAAAATTATTGGCGAGCCTTTGAGGGGGTTGAAGCCTTTAAGTCCCTATGATTCAGGCTCTCATTCCCCCGAATTGGCTAGGGTCAGCTTAGTTTTTAGGATTTTTTATTACCATGTTCCTTTTCTTGTGGTCACTTTTTCATTAGGCAATTGTGTTGCAAGAGAACAGCAGCAGAGCTCAGTTTACGGAGTTCTTACTTTTCTTGTTAATTTAATATACTCTCTGCTTTTAGGACACCTCCGACCTATGTTAGGACTTAAGACTTCAGCTTGACCTCTACTCTAGAATTGGAAGCTTTACCCCTAACTGTATGACTCTTTAAATAAATGTGTCTTCCCCTTTTCTGTAAGTTTTTTCTCTGTCTGACTGCCTCAGCCTCTCTATTGTCTATGTCATCCCATTTAGTCATGAAAGGCTCGAGCAAAGAAAATTGTCAACACAACCATCTTAAGATCCGTAGTATGTGCCAGAGGGTTTTCATTGTTTTGGTAGATCAGTTATCTCAATACTTGAAGTCTCTATATGGATTTAAACTTGTAATTATTCCCATGTTAAATACTTAAATTAATAAATGTCGGTATTACTTTTGTGCTATGCCATTTACGTTTCACCACTAGCTTTTCCTTTTGAATTTATTTCATATAGGCTGTGTTTAAGAGGCTCATGACAGATGTACCATTTGGAGTGCTCTTATCTGGAGGGCTCGACTCATCACTTGTTGCTGCTGTTGCTGCCCGTTATCTAGCATATTCAGAGGCTGCTTGCCAGTGGGGCTCACAATTACATACCTTCTGCGTTGGTTTGAAGGTATATATTCCAAGTCCTCGTATTATATCGGTTTCCTGCCTCCCTGGGTTATTATTTATTGTGTAAAAGACACGCATGTTGATTAGATATGTTTGTATTAGAATTCCATGATTCAAGCAAAAGATGCCTTTTGGTGGAATGGAAAATGAAAGGGAAAATTAGGAACATTTTGTTATATTCATTATTGGGATACTAATAACTGGGTTGACTCTTTAGATAGACTCCAATTCCAATAGATTCTCTAATATCAATCTACTAACAAACTGTAATCTCTAATATTTCTAACAGTTGGCTGTTACCTTGATACTATGATTGGCTGGGATAGATAACTGATGGATAAACCAAATTATTAATTGAAGAATGTCTGTACAATTGCATTATGAACTGCTGCTTCTAGTACTATGTAAATAGTCTATGCAAAGTATCTAGATCCGGTCTCTTTCTAGTTATGATAATTTCTGCAACTTCAGATAACACACTCTATCTTGATATTATTTTTTAAATAAACATGGCTTTACCACTTTGTTTATAGCATTTTTGACATTTTACTATTTAGGGGTCTCCTGATCTTAAAGCCGCTAGAGAGGTAGCAGATTATATCGGAACTCGTCACCATGAATTCCATTTCACTGTCCAGGTTATTTTCTGCATGATTTAAGAAAGGATAGCTAAATATGTTCTTTCAATTTTTTATGTAATTCTTTCTCCCATTTTGATTTATCAGGAAGGGATAGATGCTCTGGAGGAAGTTATCTACCACATTGAAACGTATGATGTGACAACCATCAGGGCGAGCACCCCCATGTTTCTTATGTCAAGAAAAATCAAATCTTTAGGAGTGAAAATGGTTCTTTCAGGGGAGGGATCCGATGAAATCTTCGGAGGTTACTTGTATTTCCATAAAGCTCCTAACAAAGAGGAGTTTCATGAAGAAACAAGTCGAAAGGTATTCAGGATGACCATTACTTTTTCCTGGATTTTAGTAAAATAATTTGTAGGAATCCATATATTAGGCATGGTTACCTGAGTACCTGTTATATATTGTTCACATTTTGATGATGGTATTCTAATAATTCTACAGATCAAAGCTCTTCATCTTTATGATTGCTTGAGAGCAAACAAGTCAACTTCGGCATGGGGACTTGAAGCTCGTGTACCCTTTTTAGATAAAGAGTTCATCAACGTTGCAATGAGTATAGATCCTGAGTGGAAAATGGTACGATGTTTCTAGATTTGTCATTATGATGGGTCATTACTTTAATGTTGAGAAAAGGCGTATCATATCCATCCATACTGGAATAAACTAGACAAACAGTTTTTCCTGCATGTTATCGTTTCTGGTTTTAGCTATCCATTTGCAGGGATAACATTTCACATTGTAGGGGTGATGTCAATTTCCCCTCTTAAATGCAATATATCTTCTAGCTTTTGGTGCTTTCATCTGGTGTATACTGTATAAGGTGGTAGTTTTCTAGGTTCTTTTATTCAATAATGAGCTGATGCAAATGATATGCGGTGTCAGTTACTTGACCACTAGTAGTTAGTAGTTACTATCTCATGCTGGTTGAAGGAAGAGTTTTAGAATTTATTTACATAATTTGACCTCCTTTTTTTCTATAAAGAATGCGTATTTATGGTTAGTGCCTTTCAACTTTGTTGCAGATAAGGCCTGATCTTGGGAGGATTGAGAAGTGGGTCTTACGTAATGCATTTGACGATGATCAGAAGCCATATCTGCCTAAGGTTGGTGTATCTTCTTTTAAAATATTCCTGCAATTCATAAAATTTATTGGGGCACCATCATTTTATCTGGTCCTTGTTTCTTTGATTATCTTTCTTCTCTGTATTTATGTTTCACTATGATTTGTTATGAAAAACTTCCTGGAAGATTGAAACTTCTTATTCCCTCTGTTTCAGCACATTTTATACAGGCAGAAAGAGCAGTTCAGTGATGGAGTTGGATACAGTTGGATTGATGCCATCATTTATCTGGTCCTTGTTTCTTTGATTATCTTTCTCTCTGTATTTATGTTTCACTATGATTTGTTATGAAAAACTTCCTGGAAGATTGAAACTTCTTATTCCCTCTGTTTCAGCACATTTTATACAGGCAGAAAGAGCAGTTCAGTGATGGAGTTGGATACAGTTGGATTGATGGTTTGAAGGACCATGCCGAGAAACAGGTAGGCATATTCGTCTGTGGCTCTTCTGGGAGACATTTTCAATTTGGCTGCGTAGTAAGAACCTTCTGTTTTACTAACTTGACAGGTCACTGATACAATGTTGATGAATGCAAGCTTTATCTACCCTGAGAACACCCCAACCACAAAGGAGGGATACTATTACAGGACTATCTTCGAGAAGTTTTTCCCTAAGGTATATGCTGTTCACCTCTCTGTTTTTCGGTGAACACCATTAATAGAAGAAGCCATAATCTACATAGCAAAAATCATTAATATTTTTTTTATAAGAATTTCAGGCCTCATTAAAAACTCCCTTCTTGATTAATGGAGCATACAACCAACAGTACAACCGACAAAACCACCCCAACAGAACCAAATAAGCTGAAAACACCCTTAAAACACCCTAACTAAAGACAAAAAATAAACGAAAACAGCACTAGTAATCCCCTTACAAAACACATAAAATCCAGACACCACCCTAAACAGCCATCAACAACTTTACTAACTCAGCCTATGCCTTCTTTAGCTAAGGCATCAGCCTCTAAATTGGCTGTCTTACTAACCCATCTACAACACCTTCCAAGGCATTAAGCCTATGAGCAATATCTTTAATCAAGAAGGCATATACAACAGGACATAATTCATCCCCCTTAATCCAATCCACAGCCACCTTACTATCACTCTCTATAATCAGACGGTCCTTGATCTTCTGTCGATAGTTTGCAAAGAAAGACAACCCCATAAGAATAGCCTTTAACTCCATCAACGTAGGAGGTCCCGGACCGGCAGTTTCCTTGAAATAGCCTATAGTAGAACCTGAGTAATCTTTTAGAACTCCTCCTAACCCGCTTTTCTTCCAATCCCTTGAAAATCATTAATATTTTAAAATTTATATAAATATATAACTCCTTGAAGACGAAAAATATAATATTAACTTGACACTAAATAAGTCTGCTTACTTGGATGTGTGATGTAGCCAAGGCCCAAGTATTGTGAGATTATGTTTGTGAGAATAATTACACCAAACAAGGATAAAAGTTCTCCAAGATTCCTGAATCAAATGCTCCTATGTTATACATACATTTTTGTATTTGTTCGTTTATAGCTGAATTATCTTTGACATTGCTGCTGATTGAATCATCCAAATGCAAGCAGAATGCTGCAAGGTCAACAGTTCCAGGGGGTCCAAGTGTGGCATGCAGCACGGCTAAAGCAGTGGAATGGGATGCAGCATGGGCAAAAAATCCTGACCCCTCCGGCCGTGCTGCACTCGGTGTTCATGCCTCTGCTTATGAGGAAACAATAGATGCCAATGCCATGGATCTGATCAAAAGTCCCTCCCGGAAGATACAAAAAGGAATTGAGGAAAAGACTGCAACAGCGTAAATAAAGACTTCCATCTTTCTATTTGACAGCTGAATTGTAGACCAAGTTAATTAAGACATTTCTTTCTTTAAAGTGCCTCAAAGACATATCATTCCTAACTGTTGAGCTCCGGCATCTAGTGTTCGTTATTATCAGTTAGAACGATCTTGTCCTGTGGGATTTATGCATCATGTAGTTGTGCAAAGCCTTCTGTTGTCAATGGTTAATATTAATTTACGATCAGACGTATTTCCTTTATGACACACCTCGTTTATCATGGCTGTGTCAATTGAAGTTGAAAATGCAAGATAACAATAGAAATATTTTTGCATCAAAAGTGTTGAATCAAGTGAGAACGGTAAATGAGTAAGAAACTGACCACAAATTTTTGTTGAAACATCTCTTCTTTCCGTGTATTATATTATATTGTCAGTAACATTTAGGCACGATTCAGCTAGAAGCTAGATGTATGTACAAGCATAAAAAAACAGTTATGACATTTCGAATGATTCCAGTAGTTGGTTATGTCAACACATGGGGAAAGGTTATTGTAACAAATCATCAAAAACATCCAGTGCTCGATGATCGCTGTAAGATATAAGATAGCCTCATTCTCTCGAAGGGTGTTTTACCATCGGCAAATTCCGGGCATCTCTGTTCTACTTAAAGCAAGTATTTCCTCATATTTTGATCCATATACAAAGCCCCACAGCTGTGATTTAAGGATAAATTTAATGAAACTTGTACTGCTAAGATGGCATCTTCATGATCATATAACAAACAAGGCAAATGCGAATTCATGAAGCAAATAGAATAGTGACATGGTTGTTGAAAGGAGAACGAAAGATAAAGATGGTAGGGCATCGTGCATACCTCAATCTCCTTCACTTCAAAATCTTGAGAGAACGCAAGACGGGTTTCCGTAGGTTTCCGATATTGAGCTAGATCCATTCAAGCTTACATAAAAAAATTGAACATGTCAGAAAGCGGTGTTTCATTTAAAAAATTGGTGTGATTAATGCAAGAATTCTATTTAAAAGAATGGACAAAGAAAAGGGAGAATTGGGGGGAAGGAGTGGATATCTTTATATATAAAAATAATCAGAGAGGGACAGATATCTCACAGATCACTGTCTAGATAGAGTGCAAAATGGCCGCCGCCACCAATCGCCAGAAATTCAGTGGAACACAGAGTGAAATATCTATTTGCACCTGTTCATATTTTCAGTTAGATATCCCGAGTTTACCCAAAAACTGTTATAAATACCAAAGGGCACTGGAAGAGCGAAATTCCCCTTCGCAGACCAGTTAATCATGCATGAGGATTAAATGTCATTTCAGTTCTCAATATACTATATTGTGAAACACATACATGTCTTCATTGGATAGTAAATTTCCAGCACCATATACTCTGATGTTTAATCAGAGAGGAATCAATAAACATTTAAATTTTGAAACGGTAGACAAAGATGGGAATACCTGTGGGACGGAATATAACTGTGTCACCGGGTCTATCAGTGAAAACAAAGGTACTATTTGTTCCCTGTTCAAAATGTAACGAGAACAAGATATTTATATAAAACATACCTGCCGGCTACAAAAAAGGGGAGAAAAGGTATTTACTAGCGCATCACCTGATATTTCTTATTAGTGGGTCTTAGGGGTGCTTCAACCAGACCACCAAACACTGCACCTTTACGGTCTCCAACAACCTAAGATAGAATCGATGCCATGAGCCCTTGGCGTAAGTGACATAAAATCAAATTGGCTTCGCTTCCTAAGGGCTTGGACTGGGAAAATAACATCAGTAAAGAATCCGATATCATGCATGTTTACAGTTTAGGAAAATTATTATTCAAGCATGGATAAAAGAGAATTGGATTTGGAATCCTATTGACATTGATATAAAAGATGAAATGAAAAAACTATATCGAATACGAATTAACAAAAGAGTTCAAGAATAAATAAAATCATAAAGTTAAGAGACAGAAATGTCTAACTATTATCCTGCATTGGGCCAAAGAAATGGTATTCCCATCACTAGGAAATAATTTGTTGCTTCATATTTATGAGTTATGATAGCATGGATGCATCAGAGACGTAGAATATGCTATGAAAGAATTAAAAGAAGAAAAAAAGAGAGGAGAAATCCATTTAACCATTACCAGCAAACTGAGGCCAGGCCAGAGCATGCTTCTCCTGTACACTGTTGACAGTGATATACCATGCTTCCATGTACTGTGAAGGCCAATAGAGATATATCAATGAAAGGAAAAAATAAATGTTTCTCAATATAAGAAAAAGTAAATACCCAGATAAAAGACCAAAGTCGGTCCATCAAACCCAAAAACAGTGGCATTCACCTGTAGAGTAATAACCACTTCCTCCCATGCACAATAGCAGGAAGTGATTCATAAAGGGCATTCCTTGTCTTCTCTGTAAGAAGCAATGGCGGTTCAGAAGTTTCGGGAAGATCTCCCAAAGCCAAAGGCTCCTTAACATTTTGGATATGTCTCATCTCGAGTCCATTGAATTTGGCATCAACCTCATCGTCACTTTTCACGATGGAATCATCATCATTGTCTTGATTTTTGTTTCCAATGATCCTAGTAGCTTGGTAAAGAGCTCTAAGCGACTGCTTACCCCTAGAAAGCAAGCTTTTCCTTCTACCATTCTCTTTCATTTTGTTGTCCGATGAATCACCAGCTTCTTCTTGATTATCATTTTGCTCATCCTGATTCAAATTGTGTTTTACTAGGGGGAGCTAAATTTAAGAGTAAATACTAAATAGATTTTAAACTTTCTGAGGTCAACTAATAAGGGGCTGAATATCATTTTCTTTGTCAATAAGCGGATATTGACAATTTTTTTTGTTACAAATTAATTAGCTAACCCTTATTCCCATATGTAATGGGGGTAAGGGGAGGTAGGATAGTAGGCTGTTCCTAACGTCAGGTTGAGAGCAGCTTTCGTAGGAGACCTCCGAATTATGAAATGCCCTCCATGGGACTCGATCCCACGACCACAAAGTTAAGAGCCTTGCGCTCTACGAACTGAATCTAGTTGACAGAGAAATCTCGTGGAAAAGAAACACCCATGCGATCAGCATGTAGGGAGGAAAGCACCTCAGCTGGTGGTGGGCCAAAAATTACAAGTTCCTCGTCTAGAGAGCAACCCATCTTCGAGAGGATATCGACACAAAAATTCCCTTCACGATAACTGTGTTGGAAATTAAGACACCAAGAAATATCTTTAAAACTTCGGATATCGGCTACGATGGTACCTAATGGATGCATAGATACATCGCCAGCTTCAATAAGATTTAGAGCCACTCTAGCATCAACCTCACACTCGATAGCTCTAAATCCATGCTCCCAAGCAATATATAAGGCAATTCGAATGGCATGCAACTCCGCTGCCACACTGGAACAAACGCCCAAGTGAGCCGAAAAGCCTAAGATCCAGTTTCCCACTTCATCTCGCAAAATGCCGCCAGCTACGGAGATATCTGGATTGCCCTGACTCGCACCGTCGGTATTCAATTTAAGTTTCCCATTTTAGGAGCCTCCCAAGACACTAGAAACTGCTTAGAAGGCCCTCGGCTAGGTTTCGTATAAGCCAATAAAACATCTTTAGTGGTAGCAGAATATTATGCCAGAGAGAAAAACAAAATCAGACGGAACAAAGGTTCTCTGACATCGAGCAGTCCAAAAGCCTCCAGGTAGTTATCGCAAAACAAGTGACCAGTTCCTGAGATCTTGGAGGTGTCAAGAAGGAAACCAACTCTTTATATCCTGCGAAAAGAAGGAAAAGTGGGGGTGAATTAGCATGATTCTCCTAGCCATATAACACTCTCTTAAAATATGATTCAAATCCTCCAACAAACAACCGCACATAGAGCAAGCAGGTGAGAAATTTGGAGCACGAGAGGCACGCCTTGCATTTGTGATCAAACGATCTCTCCAAGCCAGCCATAAAAAGAAATGCCAGTGTGGGGGTATCGGAAGTTTCCAAATCCTGGAGAAGGACCTCGCCAACTCTCCAATTTCCTCGTTGAGGAGAGCCTCATACGATGAGCGAGTGCTAAACACCCTATTAGCAGTATGCTTCCAAATAAAAGAGTCTTGCAGGACTGAAAATTTTGGTATGGGGTATCCCATTACACGGTTCGCAACATCCATAGGCAGCTGAGCGAATATCTTCTCCAATTCCCAATTCCTCTTGGTTGTAATAAAATCGGAAACTTTGATAGAATCCTCCACAAAAGTATTAGAGACATCCGGGAATTGATCAATAGGCATCCCCAATCAATTCTCTCTCCAGAACAAAGTCTCCTCGCCATTTCCAGTTCTTTTAAGAGAAAATCGTCTCAGTGACCAAAATTCCCATATAATGTTCGATTTTAATCAACTTTTTTCGGATTTGCCAAAATGACCAACAAAATCGCAATGCGATCGTTAATTCACAACGCGATCTCCATTATCGCAAATTCGCATTGCATTTCGCGTTGCGATAGTTGAAAATCGCGTTGCGATGGTCTATAGTGTCGTTGCGATTTTCCCAATTCACAATGCGAAAAAGTAGATCGCAACGCGAATTGGGAAAATCGCAATGCGATACTGACTATCGCAATGCGATACTTACTATCGCAATGCGATAATACAAAATCGCAACGAGATACTGACTTTCGCAACGCGATTCTGACTTTCGCAACGCGATAATACATAATCGCAATGCGATTTTCAAAGCGCCATTAGTATCCTGGCCAAGTATTTTATTTTTAAATTCCAAACACGAATATTAATATATTGGAACACTGAACCGTCCACAGTATATCCCGTAATCGCAACTCATAACCTAAAACCTAAAATCACAACTCAGTCCCATCTCCATCTCTCACTCTCTCACCCATCTCCGACGAAATCCGTCCCCATCTCTGGCGAAATCCGTCTATCTCCATCTCTCAGAGCCACCCTCAAAATCAGAAATGGAAAATCAACCAAATCAACCACGAGGGTTAGTTTTTTTAATATTTTCTTTTGAAATTTTGCATTATTATTAGGTTTTCATATTGAAATTGATGATAGTTTACTGGTAATTTCAATAATAGATTAACCATTTCACTTAGATTTCTTATTAAATCAACCGAGAATCGCAACGCGAAATGCAAATCGTAACGCGATTTAGTTTCGCGTTGCGATTCTCTCGTTGCGATAGTCAAATTCGCGTTGCGATAG